CCAGGCTGGATGAGCCTTGAGCAACCTGATCTAGTGAGGAGGTGTCCCTGCCCATGGCAGGGAGGGTTGGGACTAGGTGATCTGTAAGGTCCATTCTAACCCTTAAATTCTATGATTCTATGATTTAAGTCTTTTTTTCATAGACCACAGTTCAGTATTTGGTTCGAGCATGCACAGCATTCTTCTGGTCAGACTTTTATAGCAGATGACTGAGGCACACACTGGCCAGATGTTGTTGGAACAGAATAGAAGCCACATAGATTTCCATAAAAATATACCACACGCCTATATCTCTTTGAGATATGAGTAGCATTTTTATCTGCTCCAAGATCCAGATACTACAAATAGCTGACCAGTCTTAATGGCCATGGGGGCACTGAGTGGACATATTGCTACAGCACTTTTTAGAGGAGTGAAACCAAAGCAGGTAGGAGAGCGAGCATGAGGAGCAATCACTTCAATGAGTCATGTGCTCCATTTATATGTGCTGATAGTTTGCTGAGTCTGAAGCACAATAAACTAATGCACTTGGCTGGTTCAGTTCCTTGTATGCTGTAAGTTACAAATCTACACAAAGAAAATTGCTGCTCATAGTCAAGTCATTCAAAGGGCAAGTGTGGGATATAATGGAGCAAACAAAGAAGGCAGCACAAGAGACAGAAGGTTCCCTGCTGCCCTATCACATTTAGTATCCCTGCATATGTTTTTGAATGCAGATTAGGTGAGCAAAGCTCTCCAACAGCAGTCAAAAAACAAACACTAGGGACTCCTAATGCTTACTGTTCAATTGTATTCATTGCTCCATAACTTCCTGAAGAATGGATGGTTTAAGAAAAATAGAGGTTCTTTCTTTCTGGTTGGGCATTTTTCAGTTATCATTCATAAGACCACATAAAATGATTTAGTTGTCAAAGAATAACTGAATTACATAAATAAAACATTATATAAAAGACATCTCTGTACAATTTATGTGAAGTGAATTTTACAAGGACCAGTCTATTGTAGAAAATCCAACTTATCGCTTCCTGATCCTTTTATTCTATCTAAACATAGAAATTTATGTCAGTTCAAAAAAATCTATTACCGTTTCTCATAACTGAATCCATTATTTTCCCTCTGTGATCCATCAGGTAAAAACAAGTGCAATAGATAGCTCTAGCAGAACCTTAAACATAAAAGGCCTCAAGAATAGAATGAGATATGTTAAACCTATCTTGCTGTGCACTATAACTGGAAATGATAACCTTGATGTTCAATTTAAATCAAGTCATTGCAAAGACTTCTGACTGTAATTGTTATCTGTCATATAAATAAAATTATAAAATAGAATTGGTCTTGGAAAGGTATCGTTTTGCTTGTTGCATTGCCTGTAAGCAAATTTAACTCTGTGAAGGTTTATTACTCTTTGCTGCCTTCTCCCTGCAGTCTTTCTTAATAATAGATCCATTTGACTACAAAAAAATACGGAAAAAAGGAGCTGAAAACAAATGCTTCATTTTCAACATTACTCTTTATTTCCAGAGCTTTGCTGATTCCATTGCATTGCTGATTTTAGCTCCCTTTGTTCCCCTGCCATCCCAAGGGAAAATGAAGATCCAAGATTAGAGCTCATATTAAAATCACAGCATTTCGCTTGTATAACAGCAGTTCGCAGACAGGCAAAAAAAGGGAGTGAGTGCAAGTGCATGAATTTAAGCCAGAAAGAGGAACCAATAGATCTCAGATCATCATCTAGGTTTTCCAAGCTTGGACTCAGCTGGATTGTTGATAGTGGCAAAGGAGCTTCTACCAGGCACCAGACTTTGTCAGTGCAACTCAGAGCAAGAGAAAAATGAACAAGCTGGCCCTATAATGCACCTACTTTCCTGCCTTTCCTTGCTTTTCACTTTTGCTAAGAAAGGAGAGTGCACTGGTCTCAGGACACACATCAGTGGGGTGGAAATGGTGCTCAGCCTTGGAAGACAAAGGTTGACTGCAACTTTTCACTTACAGTATACTTGGGGAGGCCAAATATGCACAGCCTGCCCCAAAGATGAGCACAAAATTAATTTATTTGCTGCAGTGCCTATAATGAGACACACAAAAGTGAACCTACCTGATGGTTGCAGACAGTGTTGCTGCTTGTCTCCCACCCTGGGCCAGCAAACAAGACAGGCAGCTGGCAGACCCAAACTCCATTAACCAGCTGCTGCTGTGCAAACATGCAAAGGGAGAGCAGAGGAGATAAAGAGGCAGGATGCAGCAGCAGGGGAACATGCCTGCCAGCAGCAGCTGAGTGTGCCAGGTTGCATCACCTGGAGGCCATCACATGTAGGTGTCTGCTTCTCACATAGCTCTGCAGGGTACAGCTTACTTGTAGTTTCTGCTCCTTTCAGCCTAAAGTGTCTTAGAAGGTCACACGTGGTAGAGGGACCTTGAAACACCTAATTTCATTGCAACAGGTGAATTATTACACACACCTCTCAGCAAAGGGTCTCATCTTTGCTGGATACCTTTACAGCAGCAGACAGGCAGAAGCCAGCCAAGGGTGCTTCAGAGGAGAAAAGCAGTTTTGGGGCACTGATTCATCATCTCAAGAAGACTCTCTCTCTCCTTTGACTATAAAAGAAATTAAGGAGAGAAAGAATTCCATTTAGGAGGACAAAACAGACTTTCTACTCCCTATCTGTTGGTTTAGGAATATATTTATTGTACAAGTGGGATTTCCTCAGAATTACTAGTGCCACTTCAGTAGAGTCCTGCAAGATCCTGCTGACTTCCATCTGAGGGCAGACAGCAGCACAGAGCAGTTTGGACCACTTGGTGTAATTTGGAATTCTGAAATATTTTCTACTTCCCTGCTGCAAATTTTACCTTTTTATCCTGGCAACTTGTCTCCTGTGAACTGCACACATCTGTACATTTTAAGATTATATTTTTTATCAGCAGTGTTAGAGTCTTTTTTGATTGGGCAAGCTCAACTTTTGTTTGGAACATTTTTAATGTTTTAAGTCTGAAAAATCATGTTAGAAATACTGCTTGAACATTAAGATCACAAGTTTGACATAGAGATTTTTCCTAATAACAGCATTCCTATTCTTATTACATAAACCTACTCTGTGGGATTTGATAACCTCGTACTGTAATAGTGTTAAACACAGCTCCTATCTAGATGAGAAATGCATGGATTGATGGAGGTCTGAAAATCATAAATTACATCTTGTTGAGGCCATGAGCCAGTAGCTAGCATGAGTCTCAAAACAAACATGGATGAAGAGCAGCAGGAGACTTTGCCTGGGAGTCTCCCAGGTTCTTCCATGCCAATTCTTATCAGGATGGGTTTGGCAAAGCCATTTAACCTCTTCTTCTTTCAGAATGGATGATTACTTTCCCAAATCACACGGATGCTATGACAGCTAATTAATTATAGCTGTATTGTGCTTTGCAAATTTAATTAGTATAAAGAGGGTTAGTAGGGAGAAACACTGCAAGAAAATTAAGTTGAACAGAGACAGGATGCTAGAAAGACTCTGTAGAGAGATAGAAAGAGCAGAAAAACAATTAGAATTGTTTTTGTTTGAATTGCGAGTACGTAAGAGATGTGTATGAAGACAACAGAATGTTGTCTTCCAAAAGTAGAGGAGGGGAAAAGGAAATTAAAAATTAGAAGCAAGGTAAGCAAGCAAGATGAATAGACTTGAAGTATAAAAAGAAGAAAAGAAATTGAAAAAGATATTATAAAAGCCACCCAGCCTTTAAGGTAATGAATCTTTTGATGTATTTATACCCTTTTTTGATATTACAGGAAAATGGTAGCATACTTAGTCTGAGCTCACACTATGTTAACACAGTACAATTCTCAATTCCTGAATTGTGTTGTTAAATAATGAATCATAAGTAAATAATTGAAACTTGGTTCTGTAAGCCTCACAACTGAGAACATAGAACTGTCACAGTGATACCATATTTTAACAGAAATGATAAGTAAGTCCAAAGTCTGCCACTTTGCAAATATTGTGCTCACCAACAAGAATATTCCTGGACTTTGCCAGTTAGTTAGGCAAAGGGCAAAACATTTTTAACATCTGTAGCTATAAAGACTGCTAGAAGAAGCACCTGGACTCCATTTCCTCATGGAACAAAATAAAATGTATCATCTATTATTTAAATCTCTTATATTAAAGTTCCTCTGCAAAAGGAGGACCTAGACCTGCCCTGAGCCTTGTCCTGTTGGTGAGGGTCTGTGATTTGGGGGAGCAGGAGTGGAAAGGGTGCCACTCTAAAAGGCTATGGCAGTCTTGAGTTCATGTTAAAATATCTTTTCCTCCAATATCCCTAAAATGAAGATCTACAAAATAAATCCTTACAGTTCAATGGACAAAAACTGATCAGTTCCATGGCACTGTTTAGCAACCTTAAGAACAAACAGCTTCAGGAATCTAATAATTATTATGTTTATCCTTGCAAAAGAGGAACAGTAAACAAAATAGGAAAGATCAGCCTTTTCATCCACAAAACAAAACAATTCCTTTTCTCCCATGAACATCTATTTTCTGATATAGCAAAAGCACATGTATTTCAAGTCTAAACAACACAATTAATCTAGATTCTGCCATCATCACAGTCATGGGATTACTTTGATTATTGTTTACAATGAGAGGACTCTGGGAGCACAAAACCTGGTGTGCAGACCCATCACATTCCTTCATGAAAATAACATGGTAGGAATAAAAAAATCTAAGTAATAGCAAATAATTATTCCAATACAGAAATTAAAAAAAGCCACAATAGTTACTGAGCTAGACTCAAGTAATTTGTTCATTCTTACAATCTGTTACTTAAAAATAAATAGAAGACACTTCATTTCTTAGAAGCCCCTGATGCTTTGTCTTACAAAACATCTGCCAGCAGCAAAATTTATAGGAGTCTTTGAGGATCAATGCAGGGATGAAAATGTACCAGGATTCCTCAGCACCCTGAAATAACTGAGGTTATATATATATGAAATGCCTGAGGTTAGGCTAATTCCGCAGCCTCCCATCAGCCCTGCTGGCCAGCACCTGTCCCTCAGGCCCTGCCCAAGGATTCATTTCACCATGACCTAGGCCTGGGAGCAGGACGTATCCATGTAGTCGTTCAGCTGCTGCCCGAGGGTTTCAAAGGTGGGACGCTCACTCGGCTCTGCACTCCAGCACTGCAGCATCATGTTGTAGAGCAGCAGTGGGCAGCTCTCCGGCCGACGAAGTCTGTACCCATTTTCCACCAGCTTGATCACCTGGCTTCCTGACATACCTGCAAGCCAAAATGAGTTTGTCAGACCACTCAGGGTCTACTTAGTGATACCATGTGTCCCTGTCTCTTCATCAATTGTTCAGGTTGGAAAGGACCTTAAAGATAATCTCATTTCAACCCCCCTGGTGCCAAGGACAGGGACACCAGATCAAGTTGCTCAAAGCCTCATCCAGCCTGGCCTAGAACACTTCCAGGGATGTGGCCTCATTTCTTACTGTTTGCCAGCAGTTAAAAACTTCCTCCAATGTTTCTCAGCCACCTCACCCTGACTGCATCCCCTGCGAGTCATCGCAAATGGGTTTCCCTGGGTGTGAGGCTTTTCCTTCATCACTTGGGTTTGCCAAAATTTTTCTGGCATCTATTTGCTTAAATTGTTCCTAAATCCCTCTAGTCTCGGTGACTCCAAAATCTCCCAGGACAACCTGTCCTGCTACTGAATTTTCCTCACATCATAAAGTTTTCCCTAAAATCAGCCCTAAGTTTCCTTGAAGGCAGCTGTGAAATGGCATCTTGCCTGCTCTGTTATCACCAGTCATGGAGAAGAAATCATTCCCCTACCTTTGCTATACCTTTATAGATTAAGAATATTGTCCCATACCCTTTCAATTTTCTACTCTTTAAATCAAAACTTGAATTGTATAATCTTATCTTCTTTTCCCTAGATCTCTGAATGGTATTTCCTCTGCCACCACAGATCAACATAATCGCTTCTCCTGAGTGATTACTGGAGACAAACTCTTGAAAGTATTACCAAGTAAGGAAATAGCCATGGCAAAAGGACATTTTCTACTGTCAAGACACAGGTAGGCCATGCCTTTCCAAAGGTTTAACACTGAATGCTATCTTCAGACAATACCCAGAATCATGGTGTTACATGCTGTTTATGCTAAAATCATTTATTTATATGTGTGTGTGCATATGCACACACATACAGGTTATATATGACTTCAAGATTATTTTTTTTTCTCTTTTTTTCTCTTCAGAACAATTTCACAGGAGGTAAAGGTGGGAATCTGAAAGCAAAATTAATTTTTCCTTTTATAGGAAATATGATTTTGGGACCCTGTGAAATGTAGTTTATGGTGAATGCATTACCCCTCAGGCCTGTACAGATGCAGCATAACATTACTTTTACTTTAGTACTTCCCTTGTGTTCTTCTCACCAGCACAAAATGCGTCACAGTCAATCATCTCACTGATATCTTGTGTTATTGGAGCCACAGTTCTCTGAGCATTTCTCACAGTGCTAGGAATAGTAGCTGCTTTCAGACCATTATACCTACTTTTGAGGGTGATAACTCTTTTTTTTACTTATTTAATTCTTGTGATCCTCCACTTTATGAAGACTTTTTGTTGCAATAGCCTAATATGAGGGAAGGGGGTAAACCCACCCTGATTCATTGTTCAGACACCTTCTTCCTGAAGTGCCTGTGTAGCACTTCACACATAATCTATTCCTCCATGAGATATTCTCAAAAAAAATAAAATTAAAACCAGACAGGATGGGGGATAAAAAGGGTCTTCCTTTTTTCTTTGCTTTTTCCACATTCCAAGAATTGGCATCTTTGATCTAATGGTGGAGGAAAATAGCCAGTTGGCTTAGGTGCCTGTGCAGCACAGGTTGACTCCAGCAAGAGGAAGCTTAAATGGATGTTAATCACGGCCTTTGGAAAGCTTCCAGGGAGCCTGGGGAAGCCAGAAGATCTGACCCACTAAATGGCCCTCATCTGAACAGCCTCCATTCTCTATTTACAGTTTTTCCCCTTTAACATGCCAGTAGTGCAGGCATTCAACCTGGTTTTTTGTATCATTCTTAAAGAAAGAAAAAAATTAGACATCATGCTTGGGTAAAAGACTTACCATCATAAGGAATCTTCCCATAGGTGACTATTTCATACAGAACTATTCCAAAGGACCAGACATCTGATTTAATGCTGAATCTGTTGGAGAGGAATGCCTCCGGGGCTGTCCATTTCAGTGGGAGTTTTGTATCAGGCCTAGATTCATATATATTTTCCTTTCCTGCCTGTCATGGGTAAAACAAAGCAAGCTGATTTCAGATCTGCTTCAGCAAAGTACTTAAGCACCTGACTAAGCTAACCATGTGCTTAATCTTACTGTCTTTTAGCCAAGCACTAAGTCTTTCATGGCATTAAAGTACACATTTTCTGAAGTCTATTGTTGAATTCAGTTTCACAGTTGAGAAATGCAGAGGCTTCATCAGAGGCTTTTCTAAAGCATTTATCATTTCAAGCAAGCACACAGCGTTGGAGTGGCTCCTGATTAATTATGACTTGCTACTGTGAATTCTGGACCTGGCATGCAAGATTTCAAAAGTCTGTCAGGAGTGGCAGTGTAAGCATCCTGCTGACACGAGAGACCAAATGGCTTCATGTCTGGTGTTCAGTAAACAGAGAAGGCAAGACCAAGAGCTAATGAAATTCAGAATCTTTCTTCTGTGATTTATTGTGGTGTTGAAGGGCCATTGACTTTGATAACAATCACTTCAGCAGGTTTCAGGGACCAAAGAATAAAGTCTGACTGATTCAAATTAACATATTAGCTTACGGTGAGTCCAATTAATTAATGTAAAGTGAAGATGAAAGACACATAGAAAAACTGTTTACTTGCAAATTTGTAGAATCATGTCCTTAAAGATTTACTGCACAGGCATCTAAATTTTGTCAACATTTATCCTCTTTTTAATTCCTACATGTAATTTAGTTTACATAAGGCTAGAATATAAGCAAGCCTCAGTCAAGTTTTTCACAGGCAAATCCAGGCTAACATGTACCAGGTTTTGCTTGTTTGATTGGTTTAATACAAAATACATGTTTTCTAACTGCAGTGTTTCCTATAGTTTTGAAAATACTGGTTGCTAGTGATTTGTGTCTCCATACTGATACAGTTTGCATCTTGACTGTAATACTCAATCTAGAAACAAGAAATTGTTTAATTATACCAATTAATGCATGTGGAAATACAGATTTCATTTCTCATACCTAATCCTTTGTGATATTCACATGTGACCATGTTAATGCTTTGGCTTAGGAAACAGATATTCCTAAGAAAGTCTGCCAAAATGACTCTATGACTGAGTATTTTAGTAAAGTCCAGTTTTAACAAGAAATGTCAACAGCTGTAAATTATTATACTCTCTAGTGAGAACAGCAGAGAAATATCCATTGTGAGCATTGTTCATTTTAAAATATATTTTTCATGTTAAAAAATGTGCATTCTGAACTTATGCACAAATAGAAGAATCAAAATTAAGCAAAAAGCACTTTCAAAGTCCCTTGATGCCATTGTCAAGGTGTTATTCTATACTTCAGTATGTTATAAATCCAGCTCTGTTATGAGCTTCAATTTCTGGTGCTTGAATGAAAAGGAAACAACAAATGAGAAGCAGAGGACTTTTTTTCTCTATTTTTCTTTCTCAGAACATAAATTTTTTTTAAAATCTCCCAAAACAAACAAAGCCAAACAATAATAAGGCCTCAGAAATTATGGATTACATATTGAAATCCACAAAATATGTCAAAACAAATCATTCCAACTCTGATCAAATCTATTTCAGAGATAGGAAATCTCATTTCTAAACCACAGCTCTTTCCTAGGGAGATCTTGGTCAGGGCATTCCCTGTCCTCAAGGGCTAGAGAAAAAAACCCCAAACGATGCAATATCAAAGAAATTTAAACTGTATCAGATTTAAAGCTCTGAGAGCTCACTTTATGAACTTCATTGTTAGTTGTGGAGAGGCATAAGGTCCTTTTATGATTACTACCTGCACTTGCAAAGCATCATGGAGGCAGTGGGAAAGTGAGCAAGGAAAGAATAGCTGTCTGCACATTTTTATATGCCTTCCCTTACAGGCTAAGGAATATAACTTTTTCTTCATTCCTCTATCTCTCTCCATGTGGCAGACACTAGCATTGTGGATAAAAGTTGCCCAGCAAAGGGTATTGCTTGCCAGGATCCTTCTTTGGTGACTGGGTGGGAAGCAGATACCAGGATGCCTTCTTCAGACTGGCACAAAGGCACAGGCCAGCTTCCAGCCTTGCATGGGACAATGCAGGTAGAGGATACAAATGAACACATTAGGGATCTTTTTCTCCCTGGGCTTGCCTTTTGTCTGAACCCAGCCATTCAGAGGCTACAGTTTGTCCTTTCATTGGCCTCTTCCACTTTGTTCTCCAGACTTAAAAGCAGAAGCAATTCACCCTCTCACAACATACCTTAAAAACTCTCGTAAGTCCAAAGTCTGCCACTTTGCAAATATTGTGCTCACCAACAAGAATATTCCTGGCTGCCAGATCCCGATGGATATAGTTCTGAGATTCAAGGTATGCCATCCCAGAAGCCACCTGAGCAGCCATGTCTACTTGATGTGTCAGATTGATTCGAGCGCCTCTGTCTTCTGTTTAAAAAGATGATGACAGGAACATATTATTTACAGCTTTCAGATAGAGATAACTGACTGATAACTGACATGACTGGTTCAATAGCCAATGCAAATGAACAAAATTAACAAAACCACGCAAAACAATAAAGTAACAGCCCAATCAGATGACAGAGGTTAGCAAATGACAGTACTTAGAGTCATGCAGGTAGTTTCATGAAAACAATGCCTGTCCCATCTGCTCTTAAAGACTAGATGTAGGCCTGGAAGGAGCTGCTGACACAGTCCAAACAGTAAGCTCATTATCTACTGTTAGGAACATAGTATGCACCTTTCTGATAAGTACATAAAACTGTTTCAAACAGTGAGTAAGAGTTAATGTCAGTACCCACCAGGTGTAGCCAAAGCTGACTAAAGATGGAAAAGCACAAAATTGTCCTTGTTCCATGATGTCCAGTAATTTTTACTAGGAAATATACCATCTATTGTCAAGTGTAAGTCTCATTTTCATTTTCCAGTCCACCTGACTGCTTCATGCTGTTATCCCTGTTGTTGCTACTCAACAGTAGGGCTCCTTGAGCTGCTTTCAAGCTGCCTGCTTCTCTAGTAGAACTTTCTGAAGCAATATGCATGTCATTCCCACCACTCTAAGATCCAGAAGTCCCAAAAATAGAGATTTGACAATCAAAGATCAGCTGTTCAAAGTAGTACAAGAATTTTGAGGAGAGCAACTTGCCTCCACAAATGAAGGAAAGAGTTTTAGGTCATGAAAAACTACGGCCAAGAATTGTAAGACAGGTAACCAAAAAAACATCATAGGGGTATAACACATTAGAATACATTCAGGGCCTTTGTGGTATTTTGGGGACAGCTGACCTTCTCATAATAAAAATGTTATACCCCAACGTAATCTAGGTAAGCCAAATTAGTGTTACATTCAAGCACCACTGTCACCCAATCCCAAATGCTGCACATCTGATGCATGAGTGCCTACTTCAGTAGCCAATAATACTCAAAAAAATTTCAACTTTCTGTTTCAGAATCTTAACAATATCAAAAAGCTGAATGCTTGCTGCTGGGCTTATTGGCAGTTCTTTCCCATCAGGTTTGTGGCTTTTACTTATTGCCCCTGTGTTAAAGAAATAGAACATTTCTTTAACATTCTACATTAACATTTCTTTAACAATCTACATTAATAGAACATTTCTTTAACATTCTTTAACATTAAAGCTAGCAGTTTTCTGTTGTTTAATTTGAATTGCTTTGTAGTGATAGTGTGTCTTAACATTGCTTTGCATATCCTCCTCCAATTCTGGCATTTTATCTAACTAAACCTTGCAATCCCACCTCATGAAGAGTGTCAAATTCCATTGTTTTCTAATCTATTCTGCAATCTCCAGGCCTTGAATTTCATGCTGGTCTGGATGTTCTGAGATGAATAGGCAAAATAAATTAATTTAAAGTTATTAAATTTGTCCTGTATGTGTCTTGTCCTACTTCTTTTTTGAGGCTAAATTCATTTTCATGATAATTCAGCACTGAGGTTATTTACTTCTACTGTTGACTCAGAACATCTTTTCCTCTCCAAGACATATGTTTAATAGTTGCCTTGACCTTTAAAAGAGAGAGGGAGATCACAAAATAATAGAACACTGAAGTTTTGTGGTTCTGACAATTGACAGGCATCAACATTTTTTATGCATATTGCTGGACAAAGATATATATCCACAAATAATGCTTATGTTGCATTTAATCAGAAAATAACTAAATATATACAAGTACCTTGCAAGAGTACCTAGCATGGAAACTAGCTTACGTGACTCAGCTTAAACTGTTCCCTTCCACGTGGCTCCTTCATCTGCACAGGCTGTGAACCACCTCCTTGTGAGAGCAGACAAGAATGCAAACAAACTTGAGCACAGGTTTGTCATTGCTCTGCTCCAGGATAGCTTCACACAAGCTTGCTCCAAAAGGCAGAACATGGCAATGTCATGGGAAAAACATATGACTCCTAAACCTCATGTGTAATGAGCTGCTTAAGTGCAGAATAGGAGTTAGAGCTGCTAACCCCTCCCTGTCTTATTCCCTGCAGGACACTCAGGTGCACTGTGCTAAGGCACTAGGACAAGATCCACCTCTATCAGTGGAGTTGCAGCTGAAAGAATTATTTCTTCCACTGGGGCCTGTTTGGGATACCAGATTGGGTAGACACCTTTAGCCTGTGGGCTGAGGGTGTGGAAGAGGCTACTATTGCCCTGGCTGCTGCAGTATTTCTTGTATGATTTCCCTCTGTCAGCTGGTTCCGCACTGTGGCTGTTCTAGAGCTAAATAAGGGAAAACTTTAAGGAGGAGCCTCAGCTGATAAGAAACTGCAAAGTGTGCACAAAGATAGAGGATGAAAGCATGGGTCTCTTTGGGATATGAAGTGCAAAACATGTATGGCACACTCAAAGATTTCTGACTATACCTCCAAAATTCCAGGCTAGGCCAGCCAAAGCTTACAAGTTCAAGCACTGCACTGCATTAGTACAGCTATGGAAGTTTCCAGACCAGACCCAGCTTCCATTTGGCTGGTTCAGACAGAGCACTTCAGAATAGCTTACTGCTGTATTCATATGGGCATACATGTGCTTTAGTTTGTTTTAAAATGTTCTAAGGGAGGAAAAAAATGCAATGACAACCCAAAAAAATAAGTTCATGTAGACTCATAGAATGGTTTGGGTTGAAAGAGACTTAAAGATCATCTAGTTCCAACCCCTGTGTCATGGGCAGGGACACCATTCACTAAATCAGATTGCTCAGCAGGCAATCCAACCTGGCCTTGGCCACCTCCAAGGATGAGACACCCACAACTTCTCTGAGCAGCCTGTCCCAGTGCCTCACCACCCCCATAGTGAAGAATTTCTAAGAATTACCAAATCTAAATATATTGTTTTTCAGTGTAAAGCCATTCCCCCTTGTCCTATCACTACTTGCCCTTGTAAAAAGTCCCTCTCCAGCTGTCTTGTAGCCCCCCTCTAGGTACTGGAAGGTGCTGTAAGTTTTATTTATATATATATTTATATAACTTTCACACTCAAAATCAGGCACTACTGGTGAATTTATTAGCCTTCTCATGGAATATTCTTTAACCTAGAAAGAAATTGTAGCAGCTCTGTGTCCTTTTTTGCTATTTTTTTTGACAAAACTATCACCTGTATGTGAAAAATTTATTAGAGGAAATATTAAAGAAATCTTAGGTCTGCACCCTGTTCTAAGCAATGAAGCACAATATTTCATATAGAAAATACAGGAAAATATTCTCATTGACAGGTACCTAACAATAAAAAAAAAGAAGAAAAGATAAAAAATAAATAAGCAGCACTTTCTCTGGTGAGGACATTGCTTCCATAATAATTCATCAAACTTCAAGACTGTGTCCTGCCAGAACAAGCCCCAGGTCTATCAGAATTGGTAAAAGCATTCATACATTTATAACAATTACATTCATATCCAATACAAAGAAAAGTTTTCAGTTGCATTTTGCTCATACTGGTGGCAGCTCAATACCTCTGCATAGCAGTGTTCATGAAGAACTATCAAAAACTACATTGACTTGCAGGGTACACCAGGAATTCACGTGCCCATCATTATTAAGTAGCTGTCATTATGGTAGAATGAGATACTCACTGCAAATAAGATACTAGGGATTTTTAAAGCTGGAAAAGCATACTATGCATTTCTAGGAGGGGAAACAACCAAAGAATATCTCTGGACCTTCCTCAGCTCTAGTTTGCCATATTTACCCATAATGTGCACAGAGACAGAAGCCTTCTGCAAATATTTTTCTGTTCCCTGCAGTGGCTGCGTCTCAAGAAAACTTATCAGGAACTGTGCACTCTCTGCCAGCAGATACAGATCACTTCCAGTCACAGAGCTCTATAAGCTTCAAATCTCTTTCCTTATTACCCTCACTGACAGCAATGACTTTTCTCTGACCACTGCTTATCAGAGCACCTTGGTCTTTGCCTCCACCTCACAGTTCTGTGTACCTCCCTGTGCATAGGCCATCAGACAAGGAGAGATACCACTAGGCTGGGTTTCAACTGGACATTTTTATGGTTATCTTGACAGTTGCCTGGAAAACAACCTACTTTCCACAATCTCTAAGGCAGGCCTACAGGAATAAACACTTAAGCAAGGAGCAGGCTGCATACACGTGCTGCCCATGGCAAGGGCAGCTGCTGTGCATCTGCTGGCAACTGATCCACACCCAGGCTGCAGCACTGGTGCCCCTGGACATGTTGTAGTCTGTGCACACGGGCCAATTTTCACCTCTGCAATAGCTGTGACTCATCCTGGCTTTCTCAGAGCTATTTCTCACGTGCAATATATGTTTTCATGCACAGCAATCATTTCCTGATGGGCCAGGCTCTTTCAATCAGAGAAGCAGCAATCTGCTCACAAAGGCACCAAAGATGAGAATTTAAAGGAAATTTGTGCCTTGCTACCTCTGGCCACTAAATGCCTACAAAACTGTAGATGATCTGGCCCAAGATCATGGCAGACCCTCTCTGTACAGTTCCTGGGGGGCTGCACCTCTATCAGAGATTTCTTTAGTTGTAATTGTCCATGGACTGAGCCTCATTTAAAAAATGGCTCCATAGAGAAGATGGGGAAGGCATGTGTCATGGTAAATACTGTCTGTGGTATTTCACAGGGCTTTGCTTTATGGGCTGGAAACAGAGAAGAATTTCAGCATGGCAATTGCAGCAAACATTTTGTCTTCAAGAGATCATTACAGCTTTAGAGACATTTAGCATCTCACAGACATCTGCTAAGCTGAAAATGGGTAACAACACTAGAATCAAGCATTTCTCAGTAACAGGAGTGAACTTAAAGTGCAATCGCTATGCTAGTCTATTCCAGGCTGTACAATTTCATTTTTAATTATTATTTGCCTTCAAAAGAGCACTTTGAAGCGCTGCTGAGATAAAAGCCCTGATGCAATAGGCAAGGGACAAATTCATAGTGAAAAGCTACCCCTGACTAGTAATAGCTTTCAAAGCTGTTAAGTACATTTTGTGGAAGTGCCTCTATTTCATGTCAAATACGATGACCTATCCTTCTGGATGCTTATATTTTTATTCCATTCGTGTATGTTCCCATCTAGTCATAGAACCGTGTGGAAAAATATGGGTCATTATAAGGCAAGAATCAAACTGTGAATGTGATTCTCTCCTACTTCTCGAATACTTTGGCATGTCAAAAATTCATAAACCTTTCTTTCTGCTTCTCTCATCCCCACAAGCAGCAAATAATGCAGTTTTGTATTAAGCCAGGTTGTTGTACTGCTATCTTTTATGTTAGTGTATTTACTAAACTGACAGCTGAGGCACCCCTAAAATGAGTTTATAGTAATTTGCTTACTTTGAAGGTAATCTAGAAGACTTCCATATCTCATCAGCTCGGTAATAATATAAATTGGGTCCTCCAAAGTACAGATGGCATAAAGCTGTAGAAGCTTTGGATGTCTCAACTTCTTCATCATATGTGCTTCCCTCAGAAAGTCTTTTGGATCCATTGAACCTGAAACAACAGCATATAACAAAACACAAGCTGAGGTTATTAAAGGCCTTCCCACCAGCCTGGCAGTCTTAAGGGAATAACTGAGATTGTTTTCTGTCTTTGAAAGTACATTAGCATCTCAAATCTTCACAGTTCCCACAGAAAACAGACAGTGCAGCCGAAACAAACAGTTAATGAGTGAAACATGCCAGTTGCACAGGGACAGAGAACATATGTGTTCCAGCCACCAGAAACATAAAGACTAAAATCAACCATCCCTAGACCTCCCCCAAACAGGAAAAAAAGTGAGGCTAGAATGTAACAGATACCGTTTAAACAAACAATTATGTTACAACTGGTTAACAAAATGACCAGAAATTGAGGTGAGAATTCCTAGGTAATGAACATAAAATATCTGACAGAAAACTAGTGCTACAATAGGAATTTGTTGCACTATTTTTTCAGCTTCAGCAATCAAAGCCTGAAAGCATTGAAATCACTTCAGCATATACAGAGTAGAAGTGTGCATTTTATAAAAACAAATAACTATTTACAATGCTCATATAATAGCAGCTGTATTATATACTGTATACTAATACATGCACAGTGCAGTGTGCATCCTACTCCTGCTCCAGGCTGCACTGTGGTCTGAGAAATGCTCGTTAGGCCTCAGCTTTGATGAACAGCACCTGAGCTAAGCTCCAATCCAGCTTATCAGAAACACTGTCTGTTCCCAGCTGTCTAATGAGATCCTTTTTTTTAAACGAGCAACCTTGGAAACTTATTTCTCTTGCCTGAAAAACAACCCAAGTGGAATAATATTTTCATTAGCAAACTTTCAAAGAAAGTGACTGACTTGAATTGTGGCCAGGATGGAAAATTACTATGACTAAAACCAACTCTCTTGCAACCCTATAAACACTGGTCCAAAATGAGACCCTTTGAGCTCTCCTGGACCACCGCGGGCTGAGACAAGCAATTTCTCTGAGTGGGGACTCTCTGAGCCAGTGAACTGTCACGCTTGATATACTTAGAGGACTTCTGAATGAGAATGATGGATCTTGGGCTGATACCCCCAGTCCTCAACACTTCACCTGTTGAGAAGACGCTAAGGCATCCAACATATGTACTTCACTGATTTAAAAAAGAATTTTTACAGGTAAACCTCGTACAGAATCCTTTAAGTCTGTGAGTGTGAATATGCAAATGTACTATGAATGCCACTTTCCTAGATTCTTAAGGATTTAAGATTTATAAGTAAGTTAGGCCTGTGAGTTTCAGTTGTTCTATTGTAAATTCTATATAAATCCTTTGTTAAATCTTTTAACTTAAGCTACCGATTAAGTGCTGTTAAGTTTAAGGGCTGTTAAATCTTTAGAACCAAACTGTTGGTCAAGTCCAGTCAGCATGGGGGTCTACTCTGAACTTTGTGACTTTTCCTTATTCCTTTTCAGTATTACTCTTCCCCACCCTGATCCTTTTCTTTCCCCCTACCACAACCCTCCAGGTAGATAATATTTTGCATTATTTTGGTTCATTGATTGATTTTGGATTTTAGTTTGCTTTTCCTTGATGTGCTTTAGCCACCTAGTAAGTAGGAGAGTGACCCTTGCCAATGAACTTCACTGTGCTTTCACTTTTATATTAAACATGCTTTTGCTGATACCTTTGCTGGTGATTCTTTAGGAGACCTTAAAACACTCATTTGTGACACACAGATGTAACATAAATTTTACAATCCCTTAAATGCTGAAGTAGCTTAACAGAAAATGATCCCAGCTTTATCAGTGTAAGATAACATCTCTAGTTCTATTCATATACACAGTGAGTCAATGCATAAACTATGTGAAAGAAACAATCAGAAATGATACAAGAAGCTACAGTCATGGCAAATTTAGGATTAAAGATCATATTTCCTGAATAGGGTATCAATTAGAAAAACATGCACAAATAAAGAAGCAAAACTTTCTCTATGAGTGATCCAATAGTGACCAGATATTGTCAGATATTTGAGGAAGTTGGTAAATAATATCTGCTTCAAAATGCTTCTTCAACTACTCAAATGTCTCCTTCTGCCCAAATCAAAATACTTAAGAAAATATTACAGGGAAGACTGGGAGAATGAGTGGGCATGGAAATCTATCCAAATTATTCTGCTCTACGTCATGTGTAAAAATAAACTCTTTTGGTGTTAGAAAACTGAGTCATTTGAGAAGCCAAGACTGCAAGAATAAGAGTCTTTATGGGGTTTTTTTAGCATTAGGCAACCAACAAGGTTCATTTGGGAGTTTGACTCTGTTCCAAACATGGATGTTTAAATTAAGTGAAATTCTGGGAGGATGTTAAATGGCAGTAAAACTCCACCAGAAAATCTGTTTTACAAAACTAACTGGCAAATCAGCCTGGGCCACTTCCACCCAACACCTACCTTGAGAGCTACCTCCTGAAAAACGCTCCAACCTATTTCTCAAAACATAGTAGTGATGTGTGATTTCATGCCCTTGCATCAATACAAGAGGAATGACTCAGAAATTCTTCTGACATAGACTTTATGAAAAAAAGAGCCATTTGACATTGCAACTTGGGAAACCAAACATTATCGCAAGGGTCAGGTGCTCCTCTCCTCCATGTCCTCATACTTCCCTTGGCAGTCCCATGGAGTCCAATTTGGCAATACTTTGTAGAATGTCATTAGGAGGGATGGTGAAAGTTAATGGATTTCCATGCCATCAATAAATGGAGAGCAGCCAATAATACATCTCATCAACAGGTACAGGCTATACTCATTCCCTTTTGTCCCTGTCAGAGGAAAGTGAGGGACTGCATGAAAAGTAAATGATCATACTTGATCTGGATAAAGTAAAGATTACGACAGTCAGAGATAAAAAGATCTCTGTTCTTTTCCTGTTTAGAGCAACAGAATATTTACAGATCTATTTGAACTTTGCACCAATTCAAGATTTAAAAACAAAAAGAAAAAATAAAAGCCTGGGGTTGTCTTTATAGGGTTTGGACTCACTTTGATACTGTGCCATATTTGCTTACTCTTTTCAAGATATATGCATTGTCATGGAGATCAACCTAAAATCGACAGAGAAGCTGCATAGTGTGAAGTATTCTCCCTCTAAATGCAAGTGCAAAAGCATGACTAATGATTTAGTATCAGTGCCAAAGTCATACAAGTTGATCCTAAAAAGGATAAAGCATGTGCTCACTTAGGGTCTACCAAATCATGAGCCCTCTATGGATCATTATACAGGATTTCTTCACCCCATAGAATATGACAGTCTGATTTGTTCCCATCGTCAAAGTTTGCCTACAAGGAATTTCTCAGTTTAATCATGCTATAAACTTCTTCCAACAAACTGAAAACAAGCAACATGTTTTTCACATATGACAACTTCCAATAAATTGATCAGGAGGGAATTATTCTGTTAGCTGCATAGCTGCAAATCCTTCTTTACACTGTAAAAATAAATAATAATAATAGTGATAACAAACCAGTGACAAAGATCAGTATTACCTGCATATTTTAAAGAGCATTCAGTTTTACTTAGTTTATAGCTTTAAATGGTACACATAGCAGACAGTGCCCAACCCCTCCCAGAGCCCTGTAGCTCTATGATTGTAGTTAATAAGAGGATTGAATGCCAAATGAAAAAAATATAAAAGTGTCTTTATCAGTGTTTTGCCCAAGATTACGTTTTAGCAACTGGATAAGCAAAAGTTGCCTCTAAAAGCAAATTAGTTACAAATTAGTTGGATAAAGCCTGTTAGAATAGTGGCAAAGAAGTAACAATACACCACTTTGAGGAATGAAATATGTGCCACATAGAGTTTCAAATAACTGGGGGATTTTTTAGCTTGTAGTTGAATTGTGTGTATTTTAATGAAGTGTAAATTTTCAGCTGTAAGTGGTAAACACCATATGAAAAGCAGGTTACTCTAAGTAGAAACCACTTGAACACAAAACAACCAGTCAACAGAAGCCTTAACTGAAACAAGTATCCCTTGTTTAACACTCCAGTCTGAGAGTAGATTTATCAGTACCTGAAGAAAATACAGGTTTGATAATTTGTTTTTTTGAATGAAAAATATTTTTGTAAATGTCAAAGTCATTCTTATGAACCAAATGTTAGAATCTATTTCCTTGATATGTTCTATGTGTTGCTTTGCCAGGAATCATCTCTAATTTAAGCAGATATATCAGTTCTGATTATCTTCTTTTTGAAAGTATTTTATTCTAGATTTTAATAATATGATAAGTGTCAACATACAGAAGTAAACTTACAAGTTAGTGTAAGGTCACATACTAAACTAAATGGAATAAAATAATTCTTTTTTCTCAGGGAAATTGGGAGACTTTCCTCAGTGCAAAGCTTTTTACACTGGATATGCACTGAAGAGATGACATACTGAAGAACTGAGAGTATTTTTAAAAACTTCACTGACAGTAACAACCCAGACACTATTTTGAGAAAGCCTCAAAAAAAATCATGCTTGGGCAGCTTCCACTCAGAGAGAAGCTTGGGAGATGCTTTACAACATGATAATGACAAATGCATCTGTCAACTTGAACAGTCCTAAGAAACTTTATCAGATACGATTAATTGGTGATGATAGATGTCTGCTTCACATGCTGACAGTTGGAGAAGCAAGCTAGCCCAGACAATAGGTTCTAGAAAATCCATCACACTCAGCATAGGATGAAGTGCAAATCCCTGCTGCAATGATTTCCACTTAAATAGAAAAAAACATGTCTCAGTGAGGAAATAAAAACAGAAATGTGAAATGACATGTTCAGGGACCTGCATCAAGGCAGTGCTGTGGAGTCAGGAAGAGAAATAGCAACTGCTGGCTTCTAGACTATTTTCCTGTCTACTGATCCCTACACCTCTTGGATGACTGTAGGTCAACAACTCAAAAGTCAGATATGTTCCTTACGGCAAAGATGTTCTTGTGTTTTGTTTCTTCATTCACACATCCATCGCTATGGTTTTGGCTGGTAAAATCTCACAGATGTCCCCAAAACAGAGTCAAACACCAATGAACAAATAAGGGAATTACCTGAATGAAGGCATCACATTACTACTGCTTTTCATTTATAGTCACAGGGATCAACAGATTGTAATAAGGATAAGGAGAAGTAACGGGCAAGACATGGACTGAACAATACTAGAGAGCAAAGAGTGGAAGGATCATGTGGAATTTCCAGTTTTGTTATTGTGCTGAAGGGGCAAGGCATGGGTTGTGTGTAAATTGTTCACTTCAGCGATGTGATCATGGTATTTTGACTTTGGTGTGGAGAATTCTTTTTGTTGATGTGAATAAAATTTGTAAAGTTTGTGTGATGAATGTGCACTTTAATGATAAAGCTTAAGTATGTGATACACAGAGCTGAGGGGTAGAATGTATGGAGTTTACGTGGCAAGGTTTTGGTAGTGGGGGCCTACAGGGTTGGTTTCTGTGAGAAGATGCTAGAAGCTGCCCCCATGTCTGACGGAGGCAATGCCAGTCAGCTCCAAGATGAACCCACCACTGGCCAAGGCCAAGCCCATCAGTGATGGTGGTAGTGCCTCTGAGATAACAGATTTAAGAAAGGGGGAAAGAAAACCTGTGCAACACCAGCAGCAGCCAGAAAAGAGAGCAGTGGAAATATGTGACCCACACTGGAGCAGCCTGCTTCTGGAGGACTGCACCCTATGAAAGGGACCCACGCTGGAGCAGTTCGTGAAGAACTGCAGTCCGTGGGTAGGACTCAAGTTGGACAAGTTCATGGAGGACTATCTGCTGTAGGATGGACCCTACACTGGAGCAGGAGAAGAGTGTAAGGAGCCCTTCCCCCAAGGAGGAAGGAGCAGTAGAGACAACTTGAGATGTATGGACCAAAACCCCATTCCCTGTCCCACTGCACCACTGTAAGGGATGAGGTAGAGAATTTGTGCATGAAATTAAGCCTGAGAAGAAGAGAGGGGTGGAGGGAAGACATTTTAAGATTTTTATATTCCTTGCATCCAAACTTTACAATCAGTGGAAAGAAATATGTTTTAACAGCATGTTATTTTCTGATTTTAATGTGCATTTTTGATCTATAATATGATTTATCTGACATGTGAGTGCTTATTTCTTCCCACTAATTATTAAAAGATCCTGATATATCTAAGATGTTAGATACCTAAAAATTGGGAAAATGTAGCTAGTATGCTGCACAGCAATGTTTCTGAAAGAAGCAGTTGGGAAATTTCCAGTTTGTGTGCAATATTTGAAAAATTGGCTCTTGCTCCAAATTGGAATGGAAGCAAATTTCTGAATACCCTAATTACTCACAAGTCACGAATCACAAATTTGCATCATGACAGAACTGGCTCTGGGAAAAACCCATCACTACCATCTCACCAGAACGCTGGGAGATTAATTTTTCCTTCAGGTTTGAAGGTCATAGAATCACAGAATTATTAAGGTTTGAAAAGATCTCTAAGATCATCAATTCCAACCATTAACCTAACACTTATGTTCACCTCAGTTCTTTGTCCCCAGGTGCCACACCCACATCCCTTTTGGAACACTTCCAGGCATGGTGATTCCACCAGTTCTCCAGGCAGTCTGTTCCAGTGCTTGACAGCCCTTTCCATGAAGAAATTTTCCCCATTTTCCAATCTAAACCTCCTTTGGCACAACTTGAGGCCATTTCCTCTTGGCCAGTCGCTTGTTACCTGGAAGAAGAGACCCAACCCCCACCTCACTGCAACCTCCTTTCAGGCAGTTGTAGAGAGCAATAAGGTCTCCCCTGAACCTCCACCTGTCCAGGATAAACAAGTCCAGCTCCCTCAGCCAGTCCTCATAGGACTTACTTTCGATACCCGTCATCAGCTCTGTTGCCCTTCTCTGGACATGCTCCAACACCTCAATGTCTTTTTTTAGTGAGGGGCCCAAAACTAAACAAAGGGTTCAAGTTGCAGCCTCACCAGCACTGAGTACAGGGGAACAATCACTGTCCTGGTCCTGCTAGCCACCGTATTTCTGATAGAGGCCAGGATGTCATTGGCCTCCTTGGGTTTAAGCCTTTTAGCAGAGACAGCCCAAAATCAGTTTACGTCCAGAAAAAACTACTTGACAAATGAGAAGAATACCACAGAAAACCTATATTTAGCCTTTCTAAAGACAATTGAAAATTGGTTTAACTCACTCTGTATGTACCTCCAGATTGGGGAGAAAACTGATGTATGCAAAGAGGTTTTATTTTATTACAAGAAGACATAACAAGGGTTAAAGAGAAAACAACAGGTAAACTCAGATGAGAAATTAGGCCCACATTCATATAGTCCCCCCGTTGTGGGACTAGAAGACTTCTAGCTATTAACTAGTCTAGTTAAATATAAAAACTGATATCAGCAGGGGCATGAAATGTAATGGCAATTCACATTATACATGATCCAGAACAGATGTACACTGCAAAATACATAAATCCCTTCTGGCCTTCGGGTCCATAAATCTATGATGCACTGATTGCATTATGCTTTTCTATATTGTTCACCATGTGATTACTCTGCTTGATCAACCTTCTCCTGCCTCGTAATAAGCACATTTTTCCATTTCACAATTTTGCTGGTGGTAAAGCCTTTTTAACAGAACCCTCTCCATCCCAACCCCCTATATTTGCCAGATCACTTCAAATTTAACACAGTCCTCTGTTGTTCTGATAACTTTCTTTTCCAGTAAACCTACACTGTAAAACAGCTTATCAAAAAGTCCATAGTTTAAAATACACCCCTTTCTGCCCCGTTGCAAAGACAACTGATTTAGATCTTTGAGCCTAGCAACAGCAGAGGATCATTTTACAGTGTGTTGCACCTGAATCCTGAAATACTGCCCATGTGAATACTGGAAACTTCAATTGTCAACTTATAACATGTATTTCTTGATTATTCATAAGCCACAATGTTTGCCATTCACTTATCACCTTTATATTAGGATGAATGAAATTACCAGACCTAACCTTTGCTGACATTTTATTACCATCAAGCTAAGCATTTATTACTCAAATTAGGGTGAGGATATTGGCATTTTTCATTGATTAGTGAAGTGTTATTCCTCATGAGCAACAATGAGAACAAGCTATGGAAAACTGGTGTGCTGACTACAGTAAGGCACTCCAAATGGTGAAAAACAATATGTAGAAGAGGATATGTCACTAGAGAAGTATATTACAAAGTTAAATGCTTGCATTTGAGACTATTTGAACTGTTTTTGTAGAATGAGATAATTCACAAATTACAGTCATAAGAGATTCAGTATTAACTATATAATTTATCAGGATGGCTTTGAGAATCAAAGTCTTCATTCTGAGCAGCACTATGAGTAAGGCACAGCTTCCTTATCACACTATTAGATCACAAACTCTCTGCTATCCAAGCATCGTGTACAGGTGGGGCTTGTGTCTGCCCTAACTCAATATAGCCCACTGTGAAATCAATGAGAGTTCTACTGTTGACCTTAACAGGAGTAAGACTAGATTGAAAAAAAACTGAGATAGAAAAAGTATTGATTAATCAAGCCCTTTTTCCCAGCTGAACTATGATACTACCAAAAGGTATCACAGTTGAAGGAACTTCTTCCACTATACTGTTCTAGTCTGTACATAATAACGAGTTTGCAGTGAATATTATGTTTATCCCAGTAAGAAAGTGATTTCAAGACGGTGTCTGTGGTTACTGGGTCACTAGGAAGATGCTCACCCATTCACTGAAAAAAGTACTATCTTTCACATGAATTATAGAAGGTCTTTAGTCTGAGAAGTTTTTATATTTTCAGTTAAGCAGAGGCAAAAAAAAGATGCTCATTTGTTTTCAATTTGCAAGTCCCGAAACAAAAACAACATCCTGATACAAGAGAGCCTTAAAATTAAACTACTTCCTGCTTAAATTCCTCCATGTTCAGGAGACCACTCAAGCAGGGCTCAAGCATATTGCTGCTATTCTGAATCAAAGATCTGAATCTGTTCTGCTTCCTGACCCATGTTCATTAATGCCCAACACAAGTTTTTTCAATTAACTACAACTCAAGTTGTTAGTTCTTTTAAAAAAACATGTATATCATCGAGGCTACCTTTCTCATCTATGTGGTTCTTGCCATCTGCTGGCAGGTATTTTATGTTGTCAATTTAAAATGCACAAAGTACTTGAATTTAATGAAACATCATTAAGAAAAATGCTAAAAGCTGTATTAGTCACAATCTTATATTACATGCAAATATTGGGTATTAATGTTGCGTATCAAAAACTTTGAGAAACTTTATTGAATCAATTTTAAGATTAAAGCACTTCTTAAGTACAAACTTAGCATAGCACATAGTCTACATTACCAAAGAAATCATTGTAATATAGCATCTTAATCACTAGAAAAATTCTACAGATGACAAACCAGTAGCAAATCAATTACTTCACCTAGAGACATAATGTATTTACACAATTCCATACAAGCAATATTGTACAAAAAGATGAACAACCCTTGCTGGGGTTGCCATTTTCTGTAATACAGATGTTGAATGAGTTCAGCTCATCCAGAAACAGAAAATTATATAAAATTGTAGTTCAAAATACCAAAGAATATCTGGGCCTTGAGCTTTACTAATCTCCATGTTTAAGTGCACAGATTTTAAGACCCTCTTTTCAGTTGCTTTAAAAAAGCAAAGGAGTACCCTTGCTAACATTTCACATTATTGGTATTTAAGAGTAATTCACATACCTGGTTTTAAGGTTTTGATTGCCACTGAGGTGGTATTATTCCACACTCCTTCCCATACCTCACCAAACTGACCAGATCCTAATTTTTTCACCAATTTCAGAGATTTTCGGTCTATCTCCCACTCATCAACAGTTTTATATGACAAGTCAAAAGTGGTAGGAATTTGTACCTGGTAAAAGAAAAAAACACAATAACTGAAACTTGTAATATGTTTTAAACAGCATATGCAAATCATTGTTAACTATGTCATGTAAAGTTGAAACACATAAATAATGTTTCCTTAGAGTACACACACGTGATAAAGTGAGCCAAGAACATAAAATACAACCCACATACTGGGTACTTTTTGCTAGAAATAAGAAATATGCTAAAGAAAATACCCTGCCATTAAATGTAAAAATTAGAAATCATCCCTCTAGCAAGCTTTTTGAACAATGACATACTGCTTGCCTAAACCTTGCGGTTTTGTCTCAGTAATTACTTATGGACAGCTAGAATTATGAAGTTGGAGACTTCATCTCCATATATATTTATAAAAAGGTATTAATAAATCATGATTTGGCATATTTTCTCCCCAGCCACTTGATGATTTGTTCAAAATGGCATAGTACTTTATTATTGTGAGTTTCAAGAATGAAACTGTAGCACTGCCCAGAACTTCCTGATAAGCATATTATCAACATTTTGAAATAGTAGAACCTGATATGGAGTCAACACTTTCTGACAGACATATGATGACTTAGCTTACAAAAAACACTTTGCACAGTGTAACATCCATGCTTACCTTTAGGCATGGCTTTCTGAGCAAAACACAGAGGCCATCATTGTACGTGCTATAATAGTCAACCAGCTCTTTCAGAGTATTGAAAGTTTTCATTCTGGTTAGGAAATAGCCTTCTCCATCCAGCTTTCCAATCTTGTAGTGCTTCACAGATGAACCATCAAAAACTAAAGTGATTTAAATAAATTAAGTTTTCAGGAATTATTGCAGTGGTACAATAACATTTGTGACCAAACCAACATAAAGTTCCTAAATAGATTTATCAGGACCTTAAAATAAATTACTTTAGTTTCAAATATGACAACTATAAAAAACCCTCTTTCAAACCAAAGTCCATTGTTCAGATAGCTTAACACATCTAGTCTATCAGTCTTCAGCCATTCAGGTTTGGAGATTCTTCCTTGCACCATAGGAACTGATGCAGAAGTACATAAATACAACTTCTGTGAGGCAGCTCATGTTTTCTCTCTTTGGAGACACTAAAACCAGCCAGAAGTATCTGATTCATTGGATTCATTTAATCAGGTTTTAATATTTCCTCTATTTGTGTGAACATTCCAAAGAGCAGCTGCAGGGCTGGCAGGCATTTTAGAGGAAACAGATAGGCTCTCCACATGGCCATGATTCTCTGAAAAGCACTCACATCTTCCATGGAGTTTTTTGAGGTTTATGCGTGTTTGGAATATATAAAAATCAGGTGAATACTGCTCTGTTTTGGTACTTGATTAATTTCTTTCAATTGAAATGTGTTTTCTTCTAATCTGCTGTTTCTTAAGTAAAAAGATTTTGCTTTCCTCATCTTCTATAGGTTATTTACCTGCATACTATCACACCCAAAGTGTCCTCCATTGTGATCATCAGAGCACTTTTTAGATGTGCCAGAAAGAAGGTCAGGCCACTGCATGCTGGGGCTAGACCTGGACCAGCACCAGATCAGAGATGGACAAAATTGTAGTCACTTATCTACTGTACTATTTAAGGAATATTAGGCTCACAATTTCTGATATCCATATTATACATGACTTAGAGCACTGATCTCCAAAGCAGCATGCATGCAAAGCAGGAAGTGCCCTAGACAATCCACTGGGATGTGAGGAAAAAAAGGCTTTTTGTACCATTGCAAATAAAACAAAATAAAGATTTTTAAATACCATTTTTTCATAGTTATCCCATGCTTTTACATTTTTTGGTGTATGTTCTATAATTTATATAATCTATCAGTAGATTAGTACATGTATGTAATTTACAAAGCATAAATAAAGATATATCTAGGGTGAATGCTCAAAACCCTTTTATTCCTGGTAGAGGTACACAAGCAAAAAAGTTTGGAGACCACTAGCTTAGAGATCTCCTTTATAAAGGAATACTGGTGGTAGCAGCAGTGGGCTGAGCATCAGGAAAGAGAGCAATTCAGAAGAGCTGGAAAAGTATTTAGTTGCTTATGTGGGGTGTCATTGGCATGACACTCCATTCCTTAGACGTCACTGTCCATTTCCAATGGCAATGGAGAGTTTATGTTACATACTGAAGGGTAAATATTTTAGTTCGTATCTTTGCTGCAGCTGTTAGCTTTAACATTAACAGTGTTCCACAATAAACCTAGCTGGTACTGAGGAATCCTGAGCATATAAAGCATAACTTAAGAGGAAATATGTTTAAGTAGTAGGATAAATTTTCTGTGTCTCAAACAGAAGACACATGCATCAGTAGAAGGAGGCTTTGTGATCCCAGGAATTTCAGGTGGAAAATTGCTCAGAGCTCAGTGAATGTTACCAATCTGTAAGATTTAGCAATAGACTTGTATGTAAAAGTGTGGACAGACCTTTTTGCCACCTGTTAGAGCTGGTGAGGGAGCAAGGTGAAGCCTCCCCAGTTAGCGTAGCGGCCAGTGAGATTGAGAATCAAGCCAAAAGGTAGAATGGGAATCATGTAGTGAGTCTTAGGATTGGCCAGAAGGAGAAACTCTGGGGTAGAACTAAATGTGAAGCACCACATTTTGGAAAATCTTTCCTTCCTTAAGTACTATCATGGATGACCAAGTACTTTTGCAGTGTCCTATGCAATTGTCATCCCAGACCACTAGAGGGCAGACAGGAGCCGCTCAAACACGGCGAGTTCTCTCCACCTCAGGATTTTTAGGGATCTGCTGACAACTTACAATTCTGCATGAGGACCAGGAATGAGGATAAAACCCAAGTTATAAGGATAAATGCATCACACTTTTCACATGCCATTTCTTTTTAAATTATCACCCATAATTAGCACTTTTTAATTACAAAATGCATGTATATTGATGTGATGTATCATTTGGAAATGGGAGTGCAACAAAATGAAAGAAAGAGTACTTCTGTAGCAATAGCCTGAAAATGTTTGCAGGAAAATGCATCTAGACAAATGAATTACTCTTTATGATGCATTGAAGAAAAGGCCAGCAGGATGACTGTGTTAATCCAGTCTCAGTTGTATATCACAAGTAATAGTAGTTTGACTACCTGCTTTATTTATTAGCAGCATACTAATCATTACTTGTGAAGCTGCTAACATCAATAATGCAGAGAGCTGGTTTGAAGGATGTGCTCTAATTTCTTAAATGAGCCTTCTATGAAGCCTTATGACTGACAGCATCCAGGTCAGGTGGTGATGTGTGCGCAGAAGCTAGAGAAAATTTCTGTGCTGATACCGTCTCTTCTAGTGATAAGTAGCTGAGTGCACTACTTGACAGGGGGTTGTTGGCTGATACCATCTCTTCTAGTGATAAGTAGCTGAGATGAGTGCACTACTTGACAGGGGGTTGTTACTTGTATCCTGGGGCTGAGTCTGGCTATGCAAGTCCTGCACCACACACTTGCAGGGCTGCAGCATCGTGTGGCTCTTCTGGGGCTGAGTCTGGCTATACAAGTCCTGCACCACACAGTTGCAGGGCTGCAGCATCGTGTGGCTCTTCTGCCAACATGATACAGAGCACATGTCACTCAGGGGAGAGCTAACCATAACCCCTTCCAGTCATCTCCACATCCATGCCAGACCACGAAACAGGACAGGAATGAACAGCTTCACACAGCTTTACAGCAGCTAGGTTTGAAGGCTGTGGTGGCTTTCTCCTCAACTTGCCCTTCCTTAAAGAATCACAGCTCCCTATTAGATTTCTACATTGTTTCAGTTTAACAGAAGCATTCTCCTCTCCCTGCTATCCATCTTCATATGACTGGACTATGCAGAAGTAGATTTTGTCACCTGAAGAATGAGAATACAGCAATTTACTACTCCTTCTCCAGGGCAGAAAAAATTTATGGTGTTATCAGCAGAGTCAACTTCTTCACTAAATGAATCATGGAGAGACTAACAGCCCATTACTTCCAACAATGATATGTCCCAGCATCACTCCTGTCAGCTGTTCTACTCAGCACTGGCCATGCAGTGCTGACAGCAGGAGCTCTGTCTCCATGCTCAGGGTGGATGAGGGAAGATGGTGGCTCATGAGATCACCCTCACCAGTGCAGAACACATGCAGAGGCAGATTTGAAATCATTCTCTTACTACGGCCATAATTTTATCAGTCCTCCGAGTCTATTGCCTTAAACAATTCCCTATACTGAAATCCAGTCTGGCCTAGAGGAAATGACACAATAACTTTTAGGAGCATGGAGAAGAAAACTGAAGGAAACACAACCCATGTACATTGTTATTCAATGCAGTAAGTCTTTCAGATACCATTATTCAGTGACGGGCTAAGTAAAGAGCCTCCTGCACTCATTGGCAATGACACTCAATTAAGCTGGGCACATCTAAATTATGGCTTTTAATTAAAAAGAGGCAATGTCTAAGATGGCACCAACATGTTTGAAATTTAATACATTTCACACCAGATGCTGAAGTCATCAACATAAAAATCTGTCAAAAACATGTGCATTTTTCAAAATGGGAAAACCTATTTTTAAAATGTCAAACACTTTAAATTTATAGCAGCACATCTCAGTGGCCTATCTTGTTTGATGAGCTTTCCATTTACCATTCACAGATATGAAAAACCTTTCTGAAGACAACTTTTTTGTTTTAATTTAAGTAGTCATTAATTATCTAAATGTTACAAATTGAGAGTTTTCCCAACATGGCAGGTTAGAACTGAAAGGTATCATTTTCATTAAAGGTAGGGGTTTCTTCTTTTTCTTGGTTTTTTTCCTAAGGAGATAATTTGTCTCCCTAATTAACATTAAGTCGCTTAGACCCTGCCCATATGAGTATGGAATCAAGCATGAAAGCCATAAAAAGAGTTTATGGGTTCTTGGGTAAAAGTCTCTCTTCCTTCTCTTCCTTTTTGACTTCTTTTTTTTTTTAAGCTTCATTACACTTAAGTCTTAGACTGGACAGAGAATTAAAATATTTTCTTAAAGATCTTAATTCTGAAAGCCAAGTTGTCACTCTTCTAGCCATTATCATCTTACTCTGCAACGAAACCAAAACAGCAATAGAAGGTAGAGCAAACCCAACCAGACTTACAGAAGACTTTGGAGGGTTATTTTTTCTGCATTGAAAAAAATTGGAAATAGAAATTAGGGACATAATCCAAAATATCAGGTTGTGACTTCTCCCCTGTCAGTGTATCAGCTACCATGGAGATAGAAGCCATCCTTCTGCCTCAGCTTTTGTGTCTCATAATTCCTTCTGCTGACACAAACAGGAGAGATGCAGGAAAACTGCCTTCTCTGTAGCACCTGGTGAACTAAACAACCTTCTTTCCAATTAATACTTCCCACAGTACAAACCACCTCATCATTTGCTTTAGAATGCAGTAGCTTTCCAAAATGTAGACAATAAGTAATGTGATAATGGACATACAGTGTCTAGACCATGATGTGTGCTATTAGGTTGGAAGCAAAAGAGCTTGCATAACAGAAACAGACACCATTCAGCCAAGCCAAGCCAGCCAAGCAAGCAGCAAACAATATTTAGCTCTTCAAGATGAGAGTAGCAGGTTGAGGCTATATTATGTTCAAGTCTGGGAAGCTGCTAAAAGATCTAGTAGCACTGGGAAATCATGTCACTAATACTGTCTGCAGATTGCTTCAGAGTTTATCCTCTTCGTTTGCCTAAAAGAGCACAAATGTTTAATAAATCTGAGATGGTGCATATATATGTATGCATACATACTCAGAGCACAACCCATGTTTGTGCATGAAGAGGAGCTGACTCCTGTAGCTGAAGCATTGCCTCTGTGTACAGCATATTCTTCCCTTCCTTCATCAAACGAACCAACATGGAACAAATCCACACTGATGGTTTCATATCTTGTTGTTATCAGTCATCATCAAATCTCCTGTTCTCAAATAAGCTTATTCAGAAACCTGGAAAATGCCTGTCACAAGCTTTTCTTTAATTGAATCAAGTATCCTAAATCAGATAGAATAAATTTTCTATCCAATCTTTGTAAGGAAAAAAATAAAACAGCAGCATCAAAGGACAATTTCATCCTGGCCTAATATTTATTTTCAGTCTCTTGGATTTTTCTCTGAAGTACCTCATAGTTTAACCGAGGAACTGTTGCCTTCCTGTTAGAGAAGTGGTTAGGATGCAGAATAATCAAGATTTTTGAATTGTTCCTAGAAGGCTACAGTTAGAGAACAATAAAAAGAAATTGCAATTCCACCCTTAGGTGTACAAGCAAAAGAATTTTCATTGATTTTTAGTAAGGTGCTATATATTCAAGTGCCAGCACTGAGAACATAATACAGGCCTATCTGTCCTTCCCTGCATAACACCACACTGCTATTGGTCTCATCCAGTCCTTGAATGAAATCAGTTCACTGATGAAGAACACTTGAAGGAAACTAAAACCATAAAGCAGAGCAAGAAGTTGCCTTATGGACAGAGAGCATTTTCAAAGGTCTGCAGCTGTAATACAGTTTTTGGATTAAAAAATTTGGTCAGTTCTGTCACAGCTCAGGACCAATCTCATTTCTGGCTGATGGTAGTTTACCTTTCAGAACTTCACGGGAAGAACCAACTTCCTTGAGGGCAAACTGAAGACAGCATGAAAAAAGGTGATGAACTTCTATGCAAGTGAGCAAAATTATCAACATTTTTTTAAATTTATTTGATAATCTTCCAGATTCAGATAAAGGACTTTATTTAAATTTCACCCCATCATCATCATAAATCTAAACTTTTATTGATGTTTACAACTATCTTTTCAATGAAACAGGCTGTCCTGTATTCTAAAATACAGCTTTGAAGATCTTCCTGTCATTTTACCCCTAAAACCAAATAAATATAAACCTAAGCATGCATCTAGCAGAAATCTCTTGTTCTTTAACTGCAGATATCTGCCAGCATGTTTTTATTTTGTGTACTAATCAGAACTGTAGTGCACAACTGCAATGTATTTTTTTTCATTTCAATCATGAAAATGCTATCAATTTTAAGACAGCTGGCACACTGGAAGTACTAAGCATAAAAGAGTTTATTTCTGTTCTGAGCATATTGATAAACAAAATCTATAAAATAAAAACTCTAATTACTCTTGCCAAGTTTTCTTTATATATCTCCTGGGAAATAAATATTATTATGAAGTTCATTTCATTTTCATGCCCAGTTTATCGTTCTCAAAAACAAAAAAGCCCAGATCATCTGCGAAATTTTTTAAACATTGCTTCGGAGGAAAAACTAGAATATACCTGAGAGTGAGTAACTCCCTTTTACACTTTCACTTTCTCGAACTAGGAATGTTCCTGCCTGGTTTCCAGGGAGTGACAGTTGTCTTATGGCATCTGCTCGTGTGACTGCGCCAAAGAACCATCTGAGCAAATAAAAAACATTAATTTTACCATTCAATGAAACATACCAGGAAGACAGTTTAGCTTTTATAAACATGCTGCTTATTTACTAAGAGATAATCTGTGCTATGCTAATTAAATGTCAATAGTATAGGGGGAAAAAGCCAATGAGCACTACACAACAAATCTTTTGCTAGAAAATATTGCTTACACATTTGAGTGAAATCTGGATTTTACTGCTGATGGAATGTCTTACTGATTTCAAGGGAACACAAATTAAGAAGTGACAGAATGATATTGTCCCAAAAAATTATTACCAAGAAATTTTGCCAAGGCTACAGTGGCAGAAATTGATGCTTAATCCACTGATGCTACTTGAACTATGTAGAGGTGCAGGTATGTGCTAAGATCTCAACATCTTAAAAGCCAAAACATCTCTGAAACTGCTGAAGGGCTCTCAGGTTCCAGGGCGTAAATCACCCTGCAGCCTTCCCCATTCCATTGCCACATCAATACCTGAAATGAGTTGCCAACAATTTTTCAGCTCTGCTGCTGTTTGACAAACAATCCAGTATGTCGCTCAAGCTGCTGCAAACATCTCAACAACCATGTTCTGTGAAAATCTACCTCTATCTCTGCCTTTTAAACCATGTACTTCCTTCCTCACTAAACCCTGTAGTTCACTAAGACTTGTTCTAGCAATAGTCTTGGTTTGCTCCTCTGAAGGTGCTCTTTTGCTACTTTGTGCTGAGTTTAAATTAAGTGGAAATAAGACAGAGGTGAGTCAGCATTTTCAGCTGGGGCAGTGTTCAGTTTCCTTCCAACAAACAAGCAAAGCTCTTTCCAAGATTAGGCCCACCTCTTATTTAAAGCAAATGCTGATAAATAGACATCAGAAATATGTCATATACTCACAGGAGAACTCCTTCCTTTCATATTAATCATAGCTAAACCTATTATGCAAGCTTTAAGTATAAATCAATGTATGACACTACAAGTAAGTTGGCTATTCAATTAACTACTTGATTTGTCAATTACTAGAGAAAAATACAGAAGGAGTCATCAACAAACTACTTTAGTATCTGGAAGGCTTGTAATCATCAAGAGGAAAGGACAAAAATGAGAAGTTGGGCGACACTTTGGCTGAGCAAGCAAGAGGACTGATAAATGGGTTTGTATTAATAAAGAGGAAATAAAAAGAGGCAAATACAGATGGCATTAACCTACACTGAGCATGCTTTGTTAACAAAAGAAAAAGAAAGACACATATATCCAGACCGGTATTCCTGTCCTCCGACTTGAAGATGATTTGGATAAAATAGGCCTTGATACGTATTTGGCAAGGAAAGTAATCTCATTAGAAAGCTGGAATGTGCTAGTATTAATTTTAATTAGTTAAATGTGTTCATTAATTCATCTAATTAAATTAATTAATTCATTAATTAGACTGTAGAAAACTAAGTAATCAATAAATGTTCAAATCCTTGACTGAGGTTCTTGTCAAAGAAGGAGAGGACAGAGTACAAGTTCAACCCTAATCCAAGAACGAGAGGACAGAGTACAAGTTCAACCCTATTCAAGTCCCAAAGGAAATCTGCCCTGAAAACTGAACAGGAATCTTTCAGCAGTTTCTAGATATACCTGCTCTGAGAGTAACATCAGAAAACTAACAAACTATATGATCTGAAAACAATTTGAATTAATATTTTTCTCCTTGAACTACAAGATATCACTGTGTCCAAAGTGACTGATTCTCATAAGATTATATGATCTGAAAAGAATTTGAATTAATATTTTTCCCCTTGAACTACAAGATATCACTCAATAGTGTCCAAAGTGACTGATTCTCATAAGAGTGTATAAGAGGTATTTAATATTCTTCATGAGTTAAGAGGATAGCATCTTTTCAAAAGAATTTGCTTTTATACCAAACCAAAAAAAAAGCTTCTAATGCATTGCTAGCAAGGTTGATTATGTTCACAATAGTCAAAATATAGTCTTTATTTGAACATGCACTGCCAGTGCATTACTAAAGCTGAAAACATGAGCAATAATGCAATGTATGCAACAAGAGGAATTGTAGGTTTATTTTGAAAATACAAACTAAATAAAAAACATGAGCAACAATGCAATGTACGCAACAAGAGGAATTGTTGGTTTATTTTGAAAATACAAACTAAATAAGTATTACATTGTGTTTGTAAAATCATGTCTACAATATAAACCCTAATTTTGGAAAATAAGACATAAGTGCATCATATTTAGGCAAATGTATCTGCTTCTTTGACTTCAAAACATTTCAAATTATATACTTGTTTTTATTAGGTTGGAAGAATTTTATTTAAATTGTTATTAAATTACCATTAAAGGTTATATGAAGTATATATAATATGTAGGTTCGGACTTCAGATAAACTTAGCAGTTAAAAAGATCCTAACTTGAAAATTAAGATAAATAGAGCAACAGCATTTGAGAAGGTAAGTGTAACTGAAGAAATTATTATGGAGAGTGAAACATGGATACGTATATTGCCTTATTTCCCTGACTTTATATGATCTGATTAAAATGTTTCAGAAAAAAATAAAGGGAAAATTACTTTTAAAAGCAATTGAATATATTGCCTCATTTCCCTGACTTTATATGATCTTATTAAAGTGTTTCAGAAAAAAATATAGGGAAAATTACTTTTAAAAGCAATTGAATATCTAATTCTTGGTTCAAAGTCATTGGGTTTGCAATAATAATCATGCAGTGCTAAAAAGCAGTATTGATTGTGAAAAAACAACCCCTTAACCTCAAAGCAAATAATCTGTTATTCACTTTGTTTTAACAAAAGCACATCTGAATTAAAAGTGCTATTTTCAGTGTAATGGAACTTTAAATTCCTCTTATAAAGCATGAAGAGCTAATTTCAATTTCTAGCAATTGAACTTACACTTCAAAAGCCTTAATATTTTACTTCATCCAAAAGCATGTATCTTAGAGGGAAAAGTACTCTAAAGAGTAATAATGAATCAAAGTAATTGCTCGCCGTGAAATATTTCTCTGCAGGATAGGAAGGTCAGAACAAAACAACATCCAATCCTTAGTAAATCTAATAGTGTTTTATAGCTCAAAGACAGATGCACAAGTTACTCATCTAGCACTTACTCTGACTTCTGGGTGCTGTACTGGCACCTCACGGTCCAGGAGAAAGTTGAATGAGCAATTCACATATGATATCACTCTGAACTTTGGCTCGCAACCAGATTGCTTTGGGCGTCAACTGTCAATGCAGGACCAGTAGATTACCAGGTATGACATAAATCAGTGCATTCAGAACTGGGCATAATTTTTCATTTCTAGGAGGAGCTGTCTGGCTAGCACAGCAACAGTGCTCTGCTGTCAGTGAGATGCAGGAACGTGCTGTCTTGGCCAGCACTGTGCCCAACACCCCAACTCCCTTTTCAGAGTAGGATGCCAGAGCTACGTTTTGGGGATTGCTCCTAGCAGCTTCCTCAAAATCCCTTGTTTACACCATCATTCACAGCTCTTAGGAATCTCTTCATTAAAAATTCCAGACTACTTCCAGACCACTTCTGGCCACCATATACAGAAGGATTTTGGGGACAGAAAATATGACCTTCGTGTAGATCCATAACAAACACAGTCCTCAGTTGTTGCAGATGTTGCTCAATACTGGAATACCAGTGAGGTTTGTTGTGGTTATTCAGAGTGTAGTAGTCCCATTTCTATTTGCCCTCAATTCCACTAGCAGGTGTTTGATCACAGGGTCATCATCATGGATCATAGCAGGCTTTGTCATGGTACTGTGACAATATCACTTCTGAGACCTGGACTCCTATCCTATTATTCTTTTCTTCCAGCAAAGGAAAAGATACATCTTCATCTACCTGAATGCTAGTGGTTATGCTTGAAGGGCAATTTTTTTTAAGAGCCAGAGATCATGTCACCTATGCTCACTCCTGCTTCTCCATTCAGTTCAATTTGAATTAAAATGGAGTCACGAGTTCAACAGAAGTTGAGAGTGTTACCTGGCTCCACTAAAATAAAAATAGTCAGCTTTACTTCTGCACTTCTCTTCTTGAAACAGGATGATATGGCAGGATATTTTTAGCTGGAAAGTAGAGGAGAGGAGAGGAAGAGTAACATGGGCCAAGAGCTATCATGTGCTGCATAGCCACTGACTTACTAAAGCTGCTGAATTACTAAAGCAAAGAAAGATTGGAGGCAAAGTTCTATGTCACCCATTTAAATTAGGCCTCACCAGAGCACAGCTTCCCACTTTCATCCTCTACCATTACTTAGATTTAATATGTACAAAAGCAAAGTCAGAATTAACTCCATAATGTCAGATCTGAAGCCACTGAATCTGCTTTAATAAGTAGCTGTAGCTGGGATAAGGGCGATTATTTCCATTTCTCAGTCAAGCTGCAGGACACTGGAGGTAAGATAAGGCTAGAAGCAGAGATCTGTGACCTACTTTAATTCTACGAATGTTCAATTTAAAGGGAAAATCCTGAGGGCTGAGTAAGGTACGGCCACATATAGAAACTATGATTGTTACAATAGGAAAAAAGAGGGAGGAAACGGGGGAGGAAATATGCTAAGAGCATCAAGACACAACAGAATAAATAGCAGGAAATCAGTCACATGAAATTTATTTTCAGAAATTACTGAAGATGTTAAAATGGACAGCATGATCCTATCCTGGATCAGCACTTTGTGGCATAAGGGTATCTTGCTTCTCATTTTTCATAAGTGCTTGTAAGGGATTTACTTTCCCATGTTAGGCCAAATTTTACAAGATGACTAAATGTCAGCAGCTGAGAGGGTTTGTTGAGATTCCTGTGGTTCTCAACCAGAAGTCTCCATTATGGAAGAAATGATGATGACAAACAGGTTAGCTGGCCCTTCAGGAGATTACATGGAGTGTGTTAACTGTGTCTGTAGTACTGGGCTGAGGAGAAAAAAAAGGTTTCTTAAACTGAGAAGAGCAAAGAATTACTGCAATTAGAGCAAA